CAGGGGCATTTTACCACTGAGCTACATCCCTAATCCTTATTTTTCATTTCAGACAGGGTCCCACTAAGTTGCTGAGATTTGCCTCAGTTGCTGAAGTTGTGATCCTTCTGTCTCAGCCTCCAGAGTTGCTGGGATTACAGGCAAGCACCAGCACACTTGGATTATTTCTCCTTCTTTGTTTTTTAACATACAAAAAGGCACTTGACTTTAATTAAGCCTAAGAGAAATGCAAATTAAATTCATGATATTACTACTACATATCCTTATTTATTTATTTATTTATTTATTTATTTATTTATTTGTGTGTGTGTGTGTATGTGTGTGTGTGCACGCGCGTGCGCTCACCAGGGATGAACTCAAAGGCACCTATTTTTTATTTTGAGATAAGATCTCACTAGGTTGTTTACAACCTTGTGAAATTGCTGAGGCTGGCTTTAAATCTGTGATCCTCCTGCCTCAGCCTCCTGAGCCGCTGGGATTACAGGTGTGTACCACCACATCTGGCTGCTGCCTTGGTTCTTCAAGGGATGTGCTCTGAAGATAGCTACCGTTAATGAGGTATGGGATGAAGGGAGTGCCATGCAAGCAGGTGGCCTTGCCTCTGACCTTCAATAGATTGGGCAGGGACTGGTGAGGAGTCCCAGTAGGGATGCAGAGTGGGAACTGTCCTTTGGTCTTGGGGATGACCAGGGCGGATTTGAGGTGACAAGGATCCAGCATGACTGTTCAAATTTCTATTCTTTTGGGAGGCAGTTCCACATTGTTTCTCTCCAAGCCACTCCCAGGAGCTACTGGAGCTGATCTGGTGAGTTCCTGGGGTCCAGCCAGCTTTCTTTGGGGAGGGTCTCTGTGTTGGGAAATAACAGCCTGAGACCATGTGCTAAAGACAGTAGTTCCAGGATGAAGGCCTTCGTTGAGGTTGTTTCTCCATATTTTCCTGTGCAATTTTCTTTTCTGCAGAGAACTAGTCCTTACTCCATGGTGCTGGAATTCAGGGGAGTTAGAAAGACCCCCTGTGTAGAAATGTATTGGCTCTTCTCTGCTTCTGATGGTGGCTCTTATTTTCTTTCTTTTCTAAGTGGGTAAGAAGTTTGAATTCTCCTGTTGTATAATTCTATGTTCTCTTTTTCTCCCTCTGTCTTATTTTTCTTTAGTGAAACATACATTCAAAGGAAGCACCAAAAAGCATCAACTTTCCAAATTAGCACAGCTTATTTACCAAATACTTTTGTGACTGAAGAAGTGGGTAGAGTGCAATGATTATGCCTCACCGAACAAGCAAATCCAATTCCATAAAGCAGAGAGCAAACCAATGTAAGTACAGTATTCTCCTATGCCTAGCATGGGAACTGAGGGAGACAAACTAGCTTCCCAATGTTGACATTCTGTTTCCATTTCTAATCTCAAATGCCAGTAAAGATAAATAGAAAGAGAGAGAGGAGAGAGAGAGAGAGAGAGAGAG